AGGAAGTTTCTCCTTAGTTCTAGGTTGCTTCTCTCCTTGATTAGTTTCCATCCGTTGCTTCTTGTCCTGCCTTCAGGCGCTTTGAAAAATAGCTTGACTCCCTCTTCTTTGTGGCAGCCCCTGAGATATTGGAACACTGCTATCATGTCCCCCCTCGTCCTTCTCTTCATTAAACTAGACATACCCAATTCCAGCAGCCATTCCTTATATGCTTTAGCCTCCAGTCCCCTAATCATCTTTGTTGCTCTTTTCTGTACTCTTTCTAGAGTCTCAACATCTTTTTTACATTGCGGTGACCAAAACTGGATGCAGTATTCCAAGTGTGGCCTTACCAAGGCATTGTAAAGTGGTATTAACACTTCATGTGATCTTGATTCTATCCCTCTGTTAATGCAGCCTAGCACTGTGTTGGCCTTTTTGGCCTCTCTTCCAACTCTATGATGCTATAACATTCTGTGTGCACTTCAGTTATGCCCTGGTAAAGGTCTTAGGCATTAAAGTCACATAATTTCTCTTCCCTTTCAAATATATCATAATACTTTTTCCTTCTTTAGACTATCAGGCTTCTACAAAGAATTTACAAATTATTCATTCAACCCTCTTCTTGCCAAATATCCATGGATTATCTCAGTAAGAATGGGTTTTGCTTTTCCTAAATGGTAATCTAAAATTTAATAAACAAAGGGTTTTTAATGTTTTCTCTTTTGTTTATAAAATACACTAGTTTCAGAAATATCTAAGAATCGTTGTCTACAGTATGTGCATCACACTTCATGTCTGTGGAGATTCTCAGTCATCCAGGTCACAGTTGTCTCAAAGATGTTTTTTTCTTCAAAAGGCAACTGGACAGGTTTTTTCCTTGAGGAAGAAAAAGAAGAAAATGTTTCGCTTCTCATCCAAGAAAATTCATCAGTTCTGATGGGCGGGAGAGAAGAAAACATTCCATTCCCCCGCCATCAGAACTGATGAAGCATCTTGGATGAGAAGCAAAATGTTTTCTTCTTCCTCAAGGAAAAAACAGCCCAGTTTCCTTTTGAAGAAAAAAGCACCTTTGAGGCATCATATTTCAGGTTTTTTTTTTTTAAGATAAAGTAGATCTGTTCTAGTAATTCTGATATTCCCTAAGCTACTGAGATGCAAGTTTTTCATACACACACACTTATGCATGCATACACAGATAGAAATCTGATTATACAGAACTACGAGGTTCATCTTGTCTCATTACAGCAAAAAGAACAAAATCAAACCCCTTTAATACAAATTTCTGCTGCTATATTTCTATACAGAAGTATGTTTCTATCAAGGACACTATATTTTAAAATTTAAAAATATGATTATATTGCCTTTTTACATAATACCATGTAATGATTATAATTGATTTCCACTTTAAGAACTAACTACTCAACTTCAGCAAAGAAGAGGAGTTACCTTTAACACAATTGTTATAACAAAATACATTTGAATACTACATACGTTTCACTTACTTTTGATATCTTGCTTTTATTGTCACCTGTCAAAAACGCCAAATTGTTAATTTCATTCTGAATCACAAAATTTTGTTCTTCTCTCTTAAAATTCTGAAAAAAATGATAAATACAGCCGTTGAGCCCTTATTTTATATATATAGATCAATGTGTACACAATATTGTTAAAATAACGTGAAATATTATCTTACATGTGATTTGCACCACAAGATGAAAACCTCTGCTACCATCCGGAAAAGTTCATCAGAATCAGCATCTGGTTTTTTAAGCCAGTTTGATCTTAAAAGAGAAACAACATAAGATTATTAGACTGAAGTCCATGTGATCTTCACTTTTTAATTTTCATCTTAGCACTTTGATTCTGGTACCATGTATCAAATTATCAGTGTGTATAGGAGAATTGTTTACTGTGTTATTCCTTTTACTGGCAGGATGCATTAATAGTGCAATTCAATCCACACCTCCACAAAAGTAAATTCCACTGAGCTTAAGAACGGAACTTAATTCTAAGTAAGCGTAGAAGGATATCTGTCAATCACGGCACCAAAATCAATCAATATTCCTTTTTTAGCAACTTAAAACCTTAATACATTTCCACAGTTTAGAATCCATAGTCTTTGTCTTTTTTTATTCCTTTCAGGAATAATATATCCTCTCTAACACAGCAATATTAGAAAAAGCTTATGTTTAAATACAAGAACATTCATGTTAGCAAAGAAATAGTCAAAACTGCCTTGAGCCACATGGATTAGACAAACATAATTTTATATTTTAATAAAACACAATATTATCAAAATAGTAAATGTTGCAACAAACTGTTTTAGGAAGCTAAAAGACAGAGCTTTAAAAGCTTTTTATACATCTGTAAACTCTCAAGTATCCTTACTATTCTGAATGTTTTGTTGGCTTGACATCCATTTGAGTTGATATGAAGGCAGTCATTCAAATGTTTCTTTTTCTGACTATCCTAAATTTAGTGAAGCTTGAGGACAATAATGCTCCCTTTGTCCTATTCATTATTGATTTTTCTCAAGAAAGCACTCTATTCTTTGTTGTGTCAGGTGTCAACACTATCAAACTTTCCACTTATCAGGATTAGTTAACTCTGGTTGTTGATCCATGAAGTGACCTTGACTCAGTTCTTGTGAATGACCTTGACTTTTTTTTTCTTGCTGATTGATCCAAGATAAGGAGAATCTACTATTTACACGTCATATGAATTTTCAACATTATTGAAGCAAGCAAGCACACAATTTGTATGTAAGGCAAATGTTTGATAAATTGCATATTTTAAAGGGATGTTTTCTGGAATATATTTTAATTCCTTGAAGGTTAATAATGAACAGAAAAACAATTCAAGGAATATATTGCCAATAGCAACAAATCATTAAGGGGATGAGGGTGGGAGAGGGTTTTATGGATTTTATTTTGTGATTTTTTTTTTAATGCTGTAAGCCAATCAGTGTCACAGTGCTTGAGTTGGGCAACCATATAAATGTATAAATGAACAACAACAAACCACTAAAGGAAACTGAGAAATTCTGTAAATATATTTGAAGCAAATAATACAGCCAGGAAAGTGGCCCAACCATTAGATGACAAAGGAATCAAATGATGCTCCTGGAGGACATGAATATTAGAGACAAACTGAATGAATTCTATACATCTATCTTTACCTTCATTGAGATGGATGGCTATTTATTGATTAATAAATAAATAAAGATGTGTGATAGCTATTGATTTGGATATTGTTAAAAATACATCAATTCATGGTGAACATAGGTATCAAGGATGTCCTGAGACTTATTGCAGGTTGGCAAGAATATGCCTTGAAACAGGAGTAGCAGAGGAATAATGGCAGGTCAGCAGCATATCTCCATTATTTGCATGAGAGTACCCCAATAGCATCCATATGTCCACTGGGAGAATTTCCTTCTTGACTAATCTAGACTTATTCCTCTGATTGTACAGTATTACTTTCAGAGAGGATTTCAACTATCCTTGCTGTTTACCATCTGCTATGACTTTGGTTTGTATGTATTTTTTTGTATCCTTTATTGAACAGGACACAGTGCTTGCAACATTCAGGTTTTGTAATATTGTTGTGTGTTTTATGTGGGGCTTTCACTGAAGATAGTATGATACATAATACCTAGATTATTAACAAGAACAAGGTCTTGAGATCTATGCCAATCTACACTGTAAAACCTCATTGACTCTCATAATTTTCTGAGATAGATTCCAAATTTTGGTTTTCAGCCAAGCATTGTCTGGATCAAGTGTCAATATGGGCCTTCTGCATCCTCCCTATTTATTTTCACTTGTAGATTTCTAGAGTGCTATTGTTGTCAAGCAAGAGAGATAGCATTTTCATTAATGACTTCTGTTTGGAACCTTCCCTTTAGGGTGTTCTGGCATCCACTGGCTCCTCCAGAAGTTATCCCAGTCCCCCCCCCTTTAAAAATTGAAAAATTACTTAAAATATAGCAAGGTGTCATGCAAGAACCAAAACATTATTAGATTTCAATTTTATGTTTTCATCACAAAAAGTATGAGGTGGTATTTAAAATCTAGGAAAGTCCGCTTTTAAATGTCAGTACTGACATTGATAGATAGAACAAAACTTATTATTTGGTCAAACAAAAGGTAATTATTTTAAGTACTTCTGTTTTTTAATCTATTTGTACAGATGCATATTCATTTTATTAACCATTCTGGGAACATTTACGTTATGCTGAAATTACAAATTATAAATTCTGCAAATAAATATGATATTTTAAATTCTCCCACCTGTTGTTGTCTACATAGCGGATCAACATAGGATAAAACGCATACAGATCTCGACAAAGAACTGCAAATTCATCTAGAATGAGAAGCTCTGCTTCTTGGGTATCAGTTTTATTGTCTGCTTTCAATTGTTCTTCTTCAATCACTATTTTAATGGCTTTCTTCTTTAGCTTTTCCAGAGTCGGAATAAAATGACTTTTCAACAGATCTGGTCTGGCTTTACTTATGATTGGCTGAGCATACACTATATGCAAAATATATATAAAAGTAATGTTCAATATAAAATGTTACATTGAAAAGAATTATATATACAAATTTGTTCAAGTACTGGTTTATTGCGGCACTGAACTTTGAGTCTAAGTCTCAACTCAGTTATAACAATAGCACCCTGTCGTTCTGTGCATTACCTGTAATTTCACGCCAATTTGCCATTATCCCCAAACTGAAAGATGTGTTTTATGCTATTTGTGGTCTGATCAACAGTCAGTCTGTGACTGCAGATTTTGGTTTGTTAACTAAAAAGGAACCTTCTATGTTTGGATGTAGTGAGAACCTGCTATTTAATTAAAATGATAGAAAAATTAAGTTGCTTCTTAAATATAAAATACAGAACAAAGTAGCTCAAAATTTACCATGGGTTATTTTTTTAAGGTATGGTTGGATGTGACATCTACAGTAAGCTCTAATTTCAACAAAAAAGAACATTTTTTGAACATAATGTATCACATCTGAAAGCCATATATAATATTCATTCTATAACAATGTATTTAAATGAAGTAGAAGCCAAGCATGCCATAAGGTTTTAAAAAGCACTTTAAAATTGCTAATAAAATATTTTTTTCCCATAGATGTTAAGAGTCAGTCCTACATGAATGACATACTCAGTACCTACTCAGTGATCCAGGTTTAGTGAATTTAGCTACACTTTTCATGTGCATATTTCCTTACAGAACACATAATAATGGATGAATATGTTTCTACTTATTTCTAGTATTGCTTTCAATTGCTTTGATTAATGTTTAAGTTTTAACTACACTTCCTAGAAAGAAAAGAGATAATATATTTCTGTTTTTGTTAAATAGGAAACTCATAAGTTTTTATGGCCTTCACTTAAAAGTTTCCACTCGAAAGAAAGCCTATATTTAATATTGATTTTTAATCAAATGATGAACTCATAACATAGTATATTACTTGTTAAATGTAAATTGGGCATTGTGGAATCAATTTCATCAAAATTTAGGAGAATTACTAGTATAACCAACAAATGTAAAAAGAGCTCTATAGTAAGTACCTGCAATTCTTTTCATCCAAGTTGCTTCATCTATTCCCAAGTTATTGTTGATGATTTTCAAAATGTTCCCCAGTATTATACTAAGATGCTCAGAGGTTACCATTGTGCAGCAAGATCCATCACTCTCTGCATTATTTTCAGGTCCTTTTTCCCACCAGTATGACAGATAGTTGCACAGCATGGGCAAGATCACTTCAATTACATGTGGCATTTCAGTATACCTGGCTCCAGATTCAGCCAAACTATTTATTTCTTTCATCAAGCCATCCAAATGAGGGATTTCTGGACACATTTCTTCTACTGTCTCAGGCATGCCTAAAACTTTGTATTATATAAGAATATGTTTAAGTAGTACTTATTTTTGTTTAAAAAAAGCTATAGCACATTTTAATTAATATCATTTCTATCATAATGTGGAACAAATAGCTTTATTTTATCCCCTGCTTTCCTAGTTGGAAAGAGATTCTGGGCTGCCTTTCCATAATAGAAAACATGATTCAATAGATCTAACTTCTGTCTAACCACATTAGATACTTTGCTTGAATGCTACGTAAAGAGTTTTTCATTCATTTCATCTCAGCAGCCTTGTTCTCATCAGGAATTAAGTAAAAAAGTTCCTGCTTACAAAATAACACTTCAGTCTACAAATAGGAACTGATTGTTGCTTCCTAACCCACACAAAAAATTCCCACATACAGAGGCATATTATGATATATATTATATTTTTGTTCCTGCCAGAGATATACTGAGAAATCAGCACAATGCTGATAAGTACAACAACAATAGGTGTCATGTTGTTAACACGAAAATAAGACTAGGCAGACAAACATTCTCAGGAAAGTAATCTAAATATACCACTGCTTATAAAAGTGAATTAAACTAATTCAGAGGATTATCTCTTTAAAAGACTAAAGAGGTGTCCTCTACTGTTTTGATAATCCTCTCCCCAATGTTGAATTTTCAGTACATGAACTGTAAACTGTGGTGTTATGACTTGCCAACTGTCACCTATTTTCTTTTCAGGAGTTATTAGTATTATTTAGCATATGGCATTTTCAGGAGTTGTTTTTAACTAAGAGCCCTGATGGCGCAATGGTTAGAATGCAGTATTGCAGGCTAACTCTGTCCAGAGTCTGCAGTTCGATCCTGATGGGCTCAAGGTTGTCTCAGCTTTCCATCCTTCCAAGATCCATAAAATGAGGACCCAGATTGTTGGGGGCAATATACTGACATTGTATAGTGCTCAGAGAGTGCTGTAAAGCACTATGGAGTGGTATATAAGTCTAAATCCTAGTGGTGTTAAAAAGAATAGTAATATATTCAACTACTTTAAATATTCAAAATGTTTGTTATATCCTGCTTATTAAAATGAAGGATAATCTGGGCAATTTGCTTAGAGAATCAAACGTTATACTTAAAAAAAATATTGAGACAAATGTTCAGTCACTGAAGTCATAAGAATCATTTATTTCACAGCTGTGACTGTCATAAGCAATCCAAAGGGAAGAAAATTAAGATGTCTGAATCATCGCATGTCAGTATTTTTTAATAAATAGCAGTTTCTTCACACAGACTTTTTTTGGGGGGGGGTGAAAATTCAGAATTACGGCTGGATACGTATGCCACTCCCAATGTGTTAAAACACTGAACTCCAGGTAGCAAGGTCTCCATTAAGGACATTTTAACCATGGACTGACTCTATGCTGCAATTAGATGCACAGAAGAAAACTCAATGGCTTACTCTTCCAATATCTATCAATAAAGCTATAGGGTCTTCCTGTCTTCTATATATTTTGTTTGTTTTTAATGCTTCCATCTGTCTCGTGCCTCAGTCCTGCCTCCTGATTTAAACATTGTTCCTGGTTTGCTGTTGATTCTGGTTTTGATTTGCCTCATAATTTTACATTCCAGATTTGGATTTATTTCAAAGTGCTACCTTCATTCAACCCTGACTCTTATTAAATTAAATCTAGTAACAGTAGAAGACTGGCTCTATATCTCAGTGGGATATTTAATCCTTCAAGAGAAGAAGTATAATTTCTTCTCTTGAAATTACACCTGAAGATGCTATTTTCCTTATAGAAGGAAATGTGCTGATACTTGAATGTTCATTCCCAAGAGGCAAATAGCATCTTCAGGGAAAATGATGCTAATCAAGAATGTGATAGAAGTAGAAAGTGTTATGCCCTTTACCTCAGGGCTATAGTTGTGGACTTTATTCACCCCCACCTCTGAGACATCAAAGTAGATCAGGATCACAGATTTCTACTCTGGCTTTTAAATTACTTATGAAGTAACTGATTACATAAATATGGAATTAATATAACTATACCACGAAACGAAAACACTTAAATGAGGTACCTATAAAAAAACACAGAAAACTGCCTATCATTAATTTGTGTCTATGAGATTTAAATAGATCATAAGAATGGGAATTCAGTTAAATATAATTCATATTATTCATTCCGAAAGTCTTATTATAGACCTTTTTATCATACACAACTAAAGGGCATATTCAATACAATTTTGTAAGAATTTTAGGCATTTTTTTTTAAAAAAAGATGCAGTGTCTTCATTACAAAAAATTTTATGCTTTCTGAAATACTCACTAGCTTTCTCTCTGGCTGACTTTGTGTTGAAGACAGAGAGGGGATTGTAAAGATTGAGAGAAGGTTCGAGGAAGGCTACTGGAATTGCTGCTACAAGAGAAGCTAAGCACTCACCAAGAGCTGGTCTTTGCCTACAAATGAGAGAAAATACTATTAATGTAGGAAATTATCCTCAGTATTTTAAATCTTTAAAAAATGATCCTCCAAATCACATTGGAGCTGAGCTCTGATGTTTCCTCAGTTTTTGCATAAGAAATGTTTCAAAATGAAATAGTCCTTCAGAATGCAATTCAGAACAGTATGTATTTTAAAATATCTTTAGAAGAACCGAGGAACTCCTGTTGGTTGTTTCAGTTGTTTCAAATAAGGTATTGGTGAAATCCTTTTCTAATGGGCCAAACATTATTATTGGTGGCTTGGTATACTTCTTTTTGTACTTTAAAATATTAAAGCATCCTTGTGGGATGTATAACTGATTTGATTAAAATAATAGCCTTATGAAAAGAATGAATAAGCTCTAAATTATTTAAAAGCTGCTGATTGTTTATTTTTATTGTTAAATATTTCTGCAGAAAATGGAAAGGAGTTCAGTCAGGGTTGATTTACCATTATTTTCCCAGTGATTCACCTATTTGCTTTGCATGGATTCAAAGGGAGAAAAAAAATTGACCTTCATTTTGTATGTGTGTGTGAATTTCCACTTGAAATTTAGTGCTGACACCATTTGAGCAAGCTGTTCTTCCCATCTCATAAACATTCTAAAATAAATTTGTATGATTCTTTTCAGTATTTCACAAATAACATTTCCTGTCATCTCTGGAACATTCCCCCCACCTTCTGTTCCTAGTATTAAGAATAGATTTGTATTGCTATGATTCAGACCAAGGTTCCATTTTACCATAGTCTGTAAATCCACTTTCAATTTTCATCCCACTTGTAGGATTTATAATATAACTTTTGTCTTGTAAATTTGCATGTTATATTCTATGAGATTAAAAATCCACTGGGGGATGATTTGGGGGTGGAAAATAGATAAAGCATTAAGGCTCCCTCTGATGCATGGCATTAGTGATGATAAGTTACTGCAGCTTAATATAAGGCTTCAGTGTTTGTAGTCGTGCATTCAATAGCTGGCTGGGTCTTCCTAGCTTTTTCCCTCAAGAAGGAAAAATGGATTGCTCTTTAACTTGAGTAACTCAAGCAACTGCATACATATTTTTTTCCAGATAATTCTAAACAGAGATCAAGCCATAGTGTAAAAATAGTATCTTTAAATACTTGCTAAGTTCTGTATCCCATATAGACTTAATTTTTCTGTTGAGAGAGGGGCATATTGATGTTTAGACCTTTTTTTCTCTTTTCACTTTCTGGAAGATCTCTTTTTCAGCCTTTCTCTTTCTGACAACACCTCTTCTTTCATCCTATTTTCCATACAGTAGGGTAGATCAAGTTGGGTTAAATATCCCACATAGCAGTAGAGCAGGGGTGTCAAACTCGCAAGTCACGTGATGTGTCGCGACGTATTGCAACTTTTTTTCCATTGCCGGCAATGGGGTGAGTGCGGTTTCGGCATGATGCATCTGGGCCAGCAGTTTGACACCCCAGCAGTAGAGCCATAGGTTACCCAGCTATTGGTGGAAATTTGGGGTCTAACAACCAAAATGTAATAGCAAATAGTAATAGGCACCTTGGGTGCAATCCCAAAACACCTGGAGCACCACTTGAACACAATCAGCATTGACAAATTCACCATCAGTCAATTGCAAAAGGCAACTTGGAACAGCTTGCATCCTGCGATGATTACCTCTAACATCATGAAGTATCAACAGGTCCTTGGGAAGGACTCAATAGAAGATAAAAATGCCAAATCCAGTCTGAACATCTGGCTGACTGTGCGGTAAACTATAAAAGTTATTCAGTATAGCTATGTGTAATAAAATGTATAGATTTTAGGACAGGGGTTTGCAAAGGGCATTTCATAACCTGGAAATAACATAATGTAGGGAGGTCCTTATTTATAAGGGATAAACTGGTAAATACTACTGGTAAATTTAGTGTCTACTTAAAACTAACTTTAATAAAGCCATATATTGCTGGGAGTACATGGTCAGATGGACCTGACTGAAGTTATTAAAAAACAGTCAATTCCTAAGTGTCCTGGGTGAGTTGGAGCATTGTCCTTGTGCAGCAGAAAATTAGTGAAACCAAGAGGAGTATGAAGACACAGAAGTCTAGTTAGGATCACTGAAAGCAGAAGATGTGTTAGCTAGCCAAGAAAGAAACACCCTTACTAACAATTCTGAGGGACAGCTGCTAGCCAGATTGGTGACAGTTGGCTTCAAGAAATTAAAAAAAAAAGACTTCAGAAGAAAAGTCTGATTCTCTCTGCACCCCCAAATATCTAAGCTTTACGTAACAGACCAAAAAACCTCTTAAGGTTTTAGGGCTATGTAATTATGTAACCCTGCCAGCAAAATTTGCCGTTCTCAGCATCCTAAGGATCATTGGGAGGTAGGGGATTATACTGAATCTAACATCATTGCAATGAGTTTAGAACCAAAGGGGAAAGTTTAAAAGCCCATCTACTGTCTTAGTTTAATAAAATGAATTAAAATAGAGTTAAATATTAATTTCTATATCCTGAATTCAAAATATTGTGCAATATTTGAGTTGTTGAAAATTATATTTGGAGCACTGTGGATAAAACTAATTTTAAAAAATTGTTCATCATAACCAGTTCTTTTTATTAAGTACCTTTCAACATAAATGTTCTTTCCAGTTCCAAGAGAGTACAGACTACAAAGAATTCTGTAACATGAAATTTGGACATCATTTACTGAAAGAAAGAAAAAAAATGTTATTGTATTCATCTTAATACAAATGTTTGTCATTTCTCCTTCCAATTCTTTTTCTTGCTGTCTTTTTAGACCATAAGCCTCAAGGAAGAATTTATCAGTTTTGTGTTTATATAAAATCACTCTGGATACCTTTCAGATTGCATGAATAATAATTATTATTAACAAAAATCAATCCTTTGCAGGATGAAAGCCTGTTCCTTGAGGGTCATGGACGATAATGCAATTTGCTGGTTCATAGCATGTAGATAGATATAATAATAAAACATGATTACAGAAGGCAACAGAAACAATTGAATATTTTTCCAATTTCTAAACAAAGATATAAAAACATTGTTCATTTATTTTTGACATGAAATTTTACAAGAGATAACCCTTTATGCTTGTAGAGAACCTTGAATCATGTTGGCCTCCAATCTGCCTAGTTCTGGGTAAATAACCAGAATCTAACATGGAAGAGAGGGAAGGAGAAACATATTTTATCAGCGCCACCCAATCATTTTGGAATTATTTGAACATTTGAGCGTTAGCCAGTATTTGATTTTTATACAGATTTTAGACTTTCAGATAAGTAACACAATATCCATGCCTCCTTTATTACAACAGAACAATATTCTAGACTAAAGTAAAAAAGCTAAAACATTAGAAGACTTACAAAGCAAATCAGTACCAAAATTATGCTGAGCAACATGTTCAAAAATGGATGTTAAGATAGGCAGCAGTGCCACTGTTGTATAGTTGATATTTTGTGAGACTCCTTTAATCTGAGTTCGGGAGTGGGTAAATTTTCCAAGTTTAAGGTTTTCTGATGTCTTCTCTAGATCTTCTGCAGCGTTTTCAAAGAAGGCATGCAATCCTGCTTTAACCAACTCTGAGCCAGATTTCATGACCGTTCTACAAGATAATTTTGAAAATTTAGAAAGCAAGTATCTGTATGGGTAAACATTATTTTATTAATTAATGTTTATTAGTTATTGTTTGCATTTATTCAAACAATTTGTGTTAATTCCAGATGGGGGTTTTATTATTGTGTACGATAAAGAGCTGAAAAGTGATTTCATCTTTTATATATTATTATAAAATTCTTGGCAACCCCACATTTAAATTACGCTGTTTCAAGCTGCAAAAGAAAAATTATATGACTTATATGACTTATGCACAATTTGTATCTTCTAAACTTTGTGTACAATTCTAATCTGCATTCTCAGCAGCTAGTGATATAATCCATAGTCATTTTGTGACACAAGTAGCTATATAAATATATTCAAATAAATAAATGTAATTACAAAAGGTATAGTTACCAGGTCTGAGACAATAAAAATTAGGAGAGGCGAAGCAATGGGAATCAATTTATAAAATGGATCTTTTTTTTTTAAAAAAAAAATGATTTTTCACTTTAGACATATTCAATTTTTTCTTTTTCCACATCAACATTTCTCCTTGTTCTAGCCCCATGTGGCACTGATACATAGATATGTGTGCACATGCACATGCACACGCACAGACACAGACTTACAAACACACAAAATCAAATATAGACTCTGATATTACTACAGGTAATCCTTGACTTACAACAGTTCATTTAGTGACCGTTTGAAGTTACAACAGCGCTGAAAAAAGTGACTTGTGACTGTTTTTCACACTTACGACCATTACAGCATCCTCAAGGTCACGTGATCAGAATTCAGACACTTGGCAACTGACTCATATTTATGATGGTTTGCAGTGCCCTGAGGTCATGTGATCACCTTTTGCACCCTTCTGACAAGCAAAGTCAATGGGAAAATCATATTCACTTAGCAACTATATTACTAACTTAACAACTGCAGTGATTGACTTAACAACTGAGGCAAGAAAGGTCGTAAAATGGAGTAAATCTCACTTAACAAGTGTTTCACTTAACAACAGAAATTTTAGGCTCAATTGACGTCATAAGTCAATGACTACCTGTATAGAATATAAAGTTTCCTCATAAAATTATATAGTGGAAAGGAAAAAGAGTCCAGGTTTTCTTCACTTCTTAAGTATGGATTTCAGTGGATAGAAATTGTAGAGCGAAAACTTTTATCTTGTTGTAGCAGCCCAACACAGCTTCTCCTCCTGTTACTACTGACAGGTAGGAATGGAAAACAGGAGTAAATAATCAAACTTACCTTGTATCTAGTGTCTGAGCTAAGATATGTAGGCAACTAACCATTGTTGCAGCATCGCTACCTAATCAAAATTGAAGGAAATAACAGCTGTTGTTCTTTAAAAATTCTCTACAACAAGAAATTATTTTTAAATAAAATGTGTACCAAGTGTATTTATACTAGGGAAATCTGCTGTCCTATTTTAATAATGAAAGTTGAAACTGTTCTTTTTTCTTGCTATTTCATCTAAGCATGCAAACACTACTCAGACATTAATGCTTGCCTTTTGTAATTTTTTTCCCATTAGTGTTTCTATGTTTGAAGTATGGATAAGCAACTTCTTTGTAGCAGCCTTTCTACCTATTATGTTAGTTAAAATCACTTTTAAAATTCCCAGTGTTAAATTCAGCATTTTTGCAGTGCAATCTAGGGGTCTAGTGGAGAGCTTACACTGAAGCTATGGAGGCCACAAGTCATTTACAGGCTACTCACCTGTGATTTAAAATGTCAATAGAGACACAAGTGAAACAATGCGTTAATAATCAAATTTCTATTTTACAATTCAATCATATGACTTCCCTGTACAACAATATAATTTGTCCAGGCAACATCTTGTACTCAGAAAAAAACATATTACTGGTGATAACCGAATAATCAGGAAATAAACCATGTTTTAAAAGCAGCAAATATAAACATTAGAAGACAGTACAGCATTGTTCCTCCAATGGGAACTGAATTACATAGTGCTTCAACACAGACAAAAATGACATTGCATTTTGTCACAAATTGAGAAGCAACCAAACTAAACTTCATACAGTTTGAAACTCCTGCAAAATCTTTTTTAACTTACCAAACAGAGAAATCCTATGTCTAACAAGAGCCGCAAGTTTGCAGAAAAGGCTAAAATAAACAAACAAACATAAATGTAAAAGAGGATGAAGCATACAGAGAAACTAAGTATTTCCATGAATAACAAACTAAGCAAAAACTATGTATCCTTTTAATTTGAAAAACAGTTACTGTAACTGTTTTTAATACAATAAACATACATATTTTAACACCTAGAAAAAAGTAAATATTATTTTATAAAACCCTTCCTGCAACATTTACTTTGTTAACTGTTTCTGAAGTTAAATAGTTTCTGAATTGCTAGATACAATTACAACTTAAACTAGGGGGAAATGATAAATTCTATTTTATTAATTCTATTTTTCGGCAATCAGACAACGTTAATTATGAAAATGCTAGTATATGTTCACCAAACCCCATGGTGATTATTCATTAAAAGGTTTGGGGGCTGGCATGAAGAAGAAAACACACTTTGATAGTTGACACTTGTCATCTATTTTAACTTTCCAGAGGCCAATGGAGACCTCTGAAACCTCTATGGAGAGGAAGAACTTTATCTTCTATTTGCTTCAAAGAAGATAAAGGTATCTGCCCAGTAAAGTCTTATCTGACTTTGTGATGTATTAGTAATTTGAATGCCTAAAGTATTTTATTCCCCATTCGTGTGCTAATATTTTCACTAATAATTTAATTTATTGAGAAATGCTATGTTTTAAAATAAAGATTTTTAAAATGTTAAGAAATGAGGAAAGAAAATAAATAAGATATTTAAAGCTCAATGAAATGAATATCCATTGATCTTTTTGAAAATGTATTGAGCGTTCTCTATGCATTAGAAGGAAGTCTTATCCCAGACTGCTTAAAGGCTGAATGATTTATGGCAAAAAATATAGGAGAATCAATTCCTAAACATGGCAGAATGTAGAATTTCTTTAGGAATATATTAGGTTCTTCTGTTAGCTTTCCTCATAGTGATAGTAATAATCAGAGTAAGGATATATAATCTATAAATAAATTTCATACTATCTACCTTCCTCAAAGTTAAAACCCTTTACTGTCAAATATTAGGAATGTAATCTTTAGTGCCAGGCTTTTGAATGAAATCTTACAAATTGGCTGAAAAGTGGTTTTGGAAAAAGAACTAGATGTTCTATAAGAAAAAAATATGCTATATACGCTGTAGAAAAGTAAGGAAGCAACATTTTTCAAAGACCATTTAAAGCATACATGTCTGGATAGAGGGTTTGAACTTGGGAAAGTGAAAATTAAGGCAGATGAGTTTGGTTTTGGTCATATTTTTGAAGTTTCAGATTGCATCCCCTATGAAAAACTTGCTCCCAGGAATTTAACATTTTTAGACTAAGGATTTTGTCTTTTATTAGATTTATCAGCATCAACAAAAATGATATTACATGAATACATTGTCAGTCCATTTACATTATTTAATACTATACAGTGAAGTGAAATCAATATGGCATTTAATGGTATTTTGGGCCCTGTAAACAGGACTACCATAACTGAGTTACAAACAAGAAAACAAAAGAATCCCTCCCCCCAATTTTAGTAAATGGTATTAGGTGCCATACCTGTAATTAATAATTAAAAGAAGGTGACTTTATGCCCTTGGTTATACTATAGCTGCAATA